ACCTCCTCCCTCAGTTGTGCAGTGAGTGCAGCTGTGGCGGGTCCCAGCACAGCCCAAGGTTGTCGAAGGCTCCCTCCCTCACACCCGGCACTGTGGCTCCAGCGCCTGCGGCAGCCCTTCCCCTGCTCAGAAGCGATCCCCAGGCTGCTCACGTGCACGCGGTGAGACCTGGCCCGAGTCTGTGCACCTACCACGCTTTGTTGAGGCTTTCTCTCCCACCTCCACCCCTGTCTATTTGATTGTCTGCCCTCCCCCCCACTCCCCAAACCTCAGGCCAGTCCCACCCGTGGGGCAGGTGGGCAGGTGGGCACCTGGGCTGCACACTGAACGCCCTCCCCGAGTCGCCCCGGGGGTGGGTTACAGCTTTGCCAGCGGTGGTTAAAGATGTGGTCGGAGCAGTGGTTCCCAGGCTCAGTGCACAGACCTGCTCAGTCATGTGCACAGACCTGGATGACCCCCAGGCCTACTCAACCAGAGCTGTTTTATTTTTTAGAAATTGAGATGAAAATCCGATAGCATAATGTTTGCCACTTTAATGTGTCCAATCTGGTGTTTTCAGGGCGTTAACCGGCCCCACCATCAAATGCCAGAGTGTTTTCATGACCCTGAAAGAAACCTGTGCTACTAATCGGTTACTCCCCCGGCAGCCACTAACCTACTTTCTGTCTCTGCAAGTGGACACTTCCCAGGGCACACGGTGTGACCTTTTCTGTCCTCCTGTCACTTGCACGGCGTTTCCAAGGTCCCCCCAGCTGTGTCCTGCGTCAGTGCTCACTCCTGTTTACGCTGGGCTGTTCCCCAGGAGGCGGATGCACAGTTGGGTTGTTTCCATGTTTTGACGACTGGAAATAACGCTGCTTGAATATTCATGTGTGCACCTTTCCGTGAGCCTACGCCTTCGCTTCTCTTGGGTGTGTGTACACCCAGGAGTGACACTGCCGGGTCAATGGCAAGTCTGTTTAACTTTCTGAGGAACTGCCAAACTGTCTTCTGCAGCGGCTGCACTATTTTACAGCCCCCCCGGCGGTGAATGGGGGTCCTGACTCGGTAGGTGCCCTGCTGGGGCGGCCCTGGTGGGGACGGACGCTCTGCATCTGGACCTTCGCCAGCACTGCTTTTTCCACGTGTTCATTTCCATGAGTTTAATTGATGTGAAGTGGTATCAGCAGTTTTGATGTGCGTTTCCCTGATGGTCACTCGCACTGAGAATTATTGCTTGTGTATTAGCCATTTTTGTGCCTTCTTTGGAGAAATGTCAAGTCCTTTGGGCCATTTGCCTTTTTATTGTTAAACTGTACAAGCTCCTTGGATATTCTGGACACTAGACCTGCACCAGATGTATGATTTGCCATTTTTTCCCTCCTGTGAGCTGTCACTACTTTTCTTCAAAATGTCCTTCAGTGTACAAGAGTTTAATTTCGATGAAGTCTAGTTTATCTCTTTTTTTGCTGCTTTTGCTTTTGTCGTATTTCAGAAACCACTGCCTCCTCAGGGTCACCAAGATGTCCTCCTGTGTCTTTGATCAGACTCTTCCACCCAAGGGTCTGTCGGAGCTGCTGTTGCTTGTGGGTTTTGGTGACTTTTCTGCGCGAATTACGCGAAGTGTACCTTTGGTCTTGTGTGGCCACTGATACCTCTGTTCCATCAGCTTCATGCTCAGCAGATGGACAGAGATTCTCAAACGCCAGGAACAAAACCAACACAAGCCAGTCTTCGCCGGTGGACTGTGTGTCGGGGCCCCTGCAGCATCCAGGCCCTACTCATCCCAGCCGTACCCGCATCCCCTGCTCTTGCCGCGGAGGAGGGGCAGGCAGGCCCCCCATGTGCACCGGCCCCAGGCTTGTGAGCGTGCTCCTGGAATCTGCTGGAGCTTTTCCCGGCCCTTACTCCCCAGAGCGTCTCATTCCCCTGCCTATTCTCCCAGGAACTGGGTCCACTCTCCTCCCTCCAGTCCCGGGCCTGGTACCCAGAAGGCAGGCTGTTGTTCTCAGGGGTACCGCTGAGCTGGGAAGCAGGTATGTTAAAATGCTGAGAGCTCACGGTTGTTACTAACATTTAGCTGTTTTTTCTCAAGTGTCCCCTGGCTGCTGCCAGCCTTGGGTTAGTGTCCAGAGTCCCAAAAAAGTCAGTTCTGGTGGTTTTTACCAGTTTTCTCAGTGCTTTAATGGAGGGATGAGACTTGGAGGTCCGTCTCTGCAGCTTTCCAGTCACTCAGAATTTTAAGTGGAGAGACAGGAATACCCCTTTCTGCAGGTTCCCTTGATAATTCTGATGCTGTTGGCCCACGTCCACACTTTGAGAGCACTGCTGGACTGTGCCTCTCTCTCCAGATTACTGCCTCGCTGACATCCCAGATTTACTCTCCGGAAATGGGGTCTGTCCTAGCAACTGTCCTGGTCCTTTTATGTCCCTGGGTTGGCATGCCCTCTCTTCTTTTGTCACAGCTGTCACAGCGCAAAGACATGTCCAGTGCCAAAGTACTGGCCCCACCAGGTCAAGAAGCAGAGGGGACCGTCCTGAGCAGCAGACTCGGGGGAGGAACGGAATTGCCCTCAGCAGTGTGAAAACCCACGAGTCTCTGCCAAGGACAAAGCCATCAGTGTCACTCACGGACCCTCTTCGATGTGGTTCCTGAATCAGTGACCCTGTTTCTAAACAGGTTCCTAGACGTAAAGGGATGACCCAGCACGGGGCAGAGGAAGGAAGGTAAAATGAAGCTGTGGCTAAAGACGTCACCAGACTTTAAAAATGTCCATACTCAGGCCAAAATGATTTCGTCCCATTAACGTGTGTTGTGGAAGGTCCTTTTAACAAGTGCTGAGTAAACCAACACATTTCAGAATTTCAGATGCTGTTCTGTGCACATGCTATGGCAAGACAGGGACTCATGAAGAAGAATGTGACTGCTTTCGTGAGTTTCTTGGACCCTGGTCTTAGAAGAAGACAAAGAAGCAGTCATATAAGAAGCTCATCGGGGATCTTTGCACAAGCGTTCTTGAGAAGGCGGCCAACCTGACGGCCAAAGCGTGCATGCTCCTCAGTTGGTGTGGGGAGCCATATTCGCCACCTCGTAAAGGGGAACTGGGTTAGCAATTCCCGTGCTACCAAAGAGATTTCCCTCTTTCATGTTTTTAAAGCAGTGAACTTAAGTCAGCTCTGGGGGCCATAGGCCTCTTTGAGAATCTGAGCATCCTCTGTTAGAAAAGTGTGCGCCCACAAAAGGCTTGTGTGCGGTTTTAGAGGGCTCGTAGGTCGACCCCCTGAAGAATTTTCGTGGACAACAAATAGCGAGCTTCTGGTTTAGAGGATCGAGACAGACTGAAGCACTGTGACTTTCTGCATCAGCACCTCTTACGCCCAGGTGTACAGCAGAATTATCTGAATGCTTTTAAAAAGCAAAACAAAACCTTTCTTATTACGGGCATTTAAACGTGCACAAAAGCAGAGTGAAAGCACGATGAGCCCTAGTGTCCCCATCAGCTGTGACATTCAGGTTAGTGTCTGCACGCCACCTCCAGAGAGGCCCACCTAATGACAGTCCAGACATCGTTTCACAGGCATACAGCACTACGGACCTCTGAGGGACCCACACACCCCGTTTTTCACATGAGCCATGCTATTTTCATGCCTTTAAAAATGCCTTCAAACCATGTGCAGTGCAGGGTGTTCTCACTTACTCTCAAATAGCTTTTTGTAGCTGGTTCCCTCAACTCTGAATCCAAACAGCGTCCACACACTGCATTCTGCAGTTTGGCTGATGCTTCTTAAGGCGCTTTTGAATCTGTCTCAGTACCCCCTCATTCCCCCACCACACACACGCACACACACACACACACACAAGGTAACCGCTGATGGCTACCCTGGCCCAGTTCTCTTGAGGCAGCATCTCCGGGCTGTCCTCCCTTGTCCCTGGTTCAAGACCCCTGTGTGGGCCACTTTCCCCTCTCTCTGAGAGAAAGGAAGGCGGTCCCACTTAACAGGGCTCTGCAGGAAGTCTCAAGGGGTCGGCAGTTTGGATCATGGGCAGACGTCCGGTGTGCAGGAGAGAAGAGCCAAGCAGACCGGCTGGACCGACCCTTGGTTCGGCTCCGTCCCCAGGCCCATGGGTCGTGC